TTTATATTAAGTGGCCTTAACTAATATGTACTTACATAGTAATTAATAGTTTGTTATAATGTACTTATTGTGTAAATACATGTATTTATTGTGTACTTATGCTTGATTAAATACCTGTATGTAAATACATCTGTAATTAACTTTTGTAATTACATTTGTAAATACACTGCTGATCATCCCTTACACCTTAACCCACCCTTAAACCTAAATATACCACCAAACCTGTCCATAACCCAACCCCTATCCCAACTCAAGAGCACCACAAGTGTTCTCAAATACATTATAAACACAGTAAGTACATTGTATTTATTTTTTGATGTAAGAACATAGTAGTTAAGGACACTTAATATAAAGTGGGACCAAAAAATTAGTTCATTTTACTTATTTTTCAAGGGGTTGCCACAGCGGAATGAACCACCAATTATTCTGGCATATGTTTTACGCAGTGGATGCCCTTCCAGTACTGGAGAACACTCATACACACTCACATTTACACAGACACTACGACCAATTCAGTTTATTAATTTACCTATAGCGCTTGTGTTTGGACTGTGGCTGCACAATAAATTTGGTTAGGCATCGATATCGCAATGTGATCATTCGCAATAGTCACATCAGGAGTATGAGCAGTGTTGAGTCTGGATTATAATTTACCATTTTGCAATTGTTTTCTGTTTGTGAGGTCTTTAAATACATTAAGGCATAAGACTTTAATAGTTATTCATTTGTCGAAGTTACAAACGGTATACTTTTATCGAGTTGTTTATCACACAAAGACTATTGTTTTGAATTTGATTATTCAGTTACTATACCTGAATACGGATCATCTCCTCTGAAAACAAGAAAACACTATTTATTGTGAGTGCTACGGTACGGTTCGGTACGCTTTTATGGCCATTTTCACTGTCAAAAGGTACCAAAAAGCAAACAACTTGTTGGGTATCCCTTGCAAAGGGTACCTAGCACGACAAAAGGTACCAAAAGTTGCGGCTAGACGCGCACCTGAACGCCATTGGTTTACAGAGAAATGTCACCAGCGCATATACAAGCAGGAGAATGAAAACAAAGAAACCGCCATTTTTAAAAACACAGCCAAGACATTACATCATAATGCTATACTATACTATACTATACTATACTCATAACAATAAGCCATCTTTGACCCGAGCTTAAACAAACCTTCTCGTTGTCTTGATGAACAGCCACAAAGTCAAGAAGAACAAAAACCGTCCGTGTCCTGGTTTTGTTTTACGAGGCCGTCTAAAAGCGCGAGCGGTTTCATTTTATCCAGAGAGCTCCCGATCGCTCGGCGTGTGCGTCTATATTTGAAATAACTTCTGATGACAATATTGTGCATGTGATTTATTGAAGTGCTTCTGATTTAGTTTATTATAGTTTTTAAAACATTTGTTAACTTTTTTATTTTTAAGAAAGTTATGTTGAAAAAAAAGTGTATGGATACAAGCAGAGCTTGCTTGTTTTTACACAATATTTAAAGATTAATCTATTATTGTATTATTAAATGTATTTAATTATATATGTTTCATAGGGAAGTCAAAAATGTCATTCATAATGGTCTTAAAAAGTCCTAAATTTAACTTTGTAAAACCTGCAGAAAACCTGGGGTCATGTTGAAATCTATCCAAGGATCCAAACTTAAATGTGTACAGAAATTACGTTAAGTGTTGTAGAAGTAAATAACATTTTAGCATTTGGCCTATGTGAGCTATAAAATGCCCTGTATACAGTATACACTTACCAGCCACTTTATTAGGCACACCTTACTAGTACCGCGTTGGACCACCTTTTGCCTTCAGAACTGCTTTAATCCTTCCTGGCATAGATTCAACAAGCTACTGGAAATATTCCTCAGAGATTTTGCTCCATGTTGACATGATAGCATCACACAGTTGCTGCAGATTTGTCGGCTGCACATCCATGATGCCAATCTCCCAGTCCACCACATCCCAAAGGTGCTCTATTGGATTGAGATCTGCTGACTGTGGAGGCCATTTGAGTACAGTGAACTCATTGTCATGTTCAAGAAACCAGTCTGAGATGTCATACAGCGTGAATTATGGAGCAATATCCTGCTTGAAGTGGCCATCAGAAGATGGAGACTCTGTGCTCATAAAGAGATGGACATGGTCAGCAGCAATACTCAGGTAGGCTGTGGCGTTGATGCTCAATTAATACTAATGGGCCAAAAGTGTGCCAAGAAAATCTCCCCCACACCATTACACCACCACCACCAGCCTGAACTGCTGATTCAAGGCAGGATGGATCCATGCTTTCATGGTGTTGAGGCCAAATTCTGACCCGAGCATCTGAATGTGTCAGCAGAAATGGAGACTCATCAGAGCAGGCAACGTTTCTCCAATCTTCTATTGTCCAGTTTTGGTGAGTCTGTGTGAATTGTAGCCTCAGTTTCCTGTTCTTAGCTGACAGGAGCGGCACCCGGTGTGCTCTTCTGCTGCTGTAGCCCATCCGCCTCAAGGTTGGACGTGTTGTGAGTTCAGAGATGCTCTTCTGCAGACCTCGGCTGTAACGAGTGCTTATTTGAGTTACTGTTGCCTTTCTATCAGCTGGAACCAGTCTGGCCATTCTCCTCTGACCTCTGGCATCAACAAGGCATTTGCGCCCACAGAAACATTCAGAAATGCAGAAAACAAATACAAATAAACAGGAGACCACAACCCAAGTGTGCTGATTTTTTTTAATTACTTCCTTTAAACTTGTGCATCAACTTCAGACAGGAAACTGTGTGCACTTCGTTTTGTTTTCACAATATGGTCAAAATTAGTTTGTATCTGAAAACCAAAAAATCTTTAAATACATCTTATCCATTTTGAAACCATTTACACACGACGTCTGGGCACTGAGAGCACTAGCAGTCTATTAGAAACCGGGGGCATTGAGTATGAAGTATATTAGCAGTCCGCTTCACTTTGTAGATCTATGTATACATATCACACGTCTCAATCGGTTCTGTCGCTTCTATTTATCACAAGTAAAAATATCTTTCTTTAAATATGATTCCTTTACATGATAAAAATAGGATCTGTCCAAAATGTGTGTGTTTGTGTCACGTCGGCACTACCAGGCATGCTCAGCTCTTCCCCTTTGCTGTTTGTGAAGCCTGGCAGAAAAAACGGAAATCCCATCATGAGATTCAATTTGGGAGCAGGACTTCCACTGGCTGCCAGCCCGTATCGAGACAGAGATATGCCAATGATTGATTTGTGTCGATAAAAATTATTACAAAATGTCCATATTCTTTAATTGTACAAAACACCTTAATATTTTCTGTTTTTATATATATATAAATCTTACATTTGCACAAGTTTACATGAGGATTCTGTATTCGGAAATCAAATCCACAAAGTACAAACATGACGCTGAACTGAAACGCAGTTATTGAAAATAAAATACAGACAAAGTGTTAATATCAGCTCTACGTGTTCATCGTTTATGTGATCATCATGGAGAGACTCAAAAATAAACCGAATTATAAATGGATACACCGCAAATTAAGCTTCTTTATTAAACACTTTAAGACTTTATCTGATGAATCTGCACTAAAAAATAATGTCTGCAAAACAATTTATTTGAGTTGAATTTAAACAAATTAAATTAATTATGTTTGTTTAAATTCAGCCCAAATAAATAGTTTAAAGCCACTTAATGTAAAAAAATTTAGTAAATCCAAGGAATCATCTCTAAATAATTATTTTGTTTTCAGTGTGGTGGAATGTGTTGGTATTTTATCCAGAAATAAAATAATCATTACCAATATATACTGTATTATAGCATAAGTAAAACAAAAATTAGGCCCATTAGTTGTTTATTCAATTGATATAACTGTCATGGCATATAAAAACACATTTACTGTCAGTACTATAATGAAAAACTGTAATAAATAAAATATGTGTATTTGTTGTACTGAATTTAATGCTGACTGGATTTTAATATTTATTATAATCTGTGAAACATAATATATGCTGTAGGAGTGATGACAATCACTCGGGAAAAATGTAATTAATATTTAATAGATAATAACTATAATAATAAAAAAATTTAATCTTATGCAGTTCTGCTTCTCCAAAAAAAAGCATCTTTTAAAATGTGTTTAGATATTTTTTAGCATAAATTAAATAAAAAGAGCACATTTATTTATTGATTTGCTAGCTTGAGTTTGGTTTACATTAATTTTACAATAAGTTTAAAAATAAAAAAGATGCACCAGTCCTGAAGAGAAAAATTAAATAAAAAAACAATCAGATTAATTGAATAAATTTTTAAAAAGCCTTTAAAAGAAGATTATTGGTATGTTTTTATTTTTTACTCAGTGATTTTGCTTTACACATGATGTTCATCAGGGCCCTGAAAATGCAAACAAATGAAAGTGGTGTATTGCCTGTTGCTCTGTCCTGCATTCATTGCTGTAGGAGGGATGAAGATCACTAAGAAAAAAAAAAAGTAATTTATTTGGAATTAAATTAATATTAAATAGGTAATAACTATAGAAGATGTAAAACATAAGATTTAATCTTATGCAGTTCTGCTTCACCAAGAGCTTCCGAGAATCCAAAAAAGGTCCACATATTGATAAATAGTGTTATGATAGCTGCTTTAACATGAAGTTATGATTGAATTGCCTCTTGTTATAGTTATGAAATAGTTTGATAACAAGCCGGAAAATGGTCATGGGCCAATGATATGACCACATTGAAATGGTCTATAATATATATTACATTCCATGAAACATAATATATACTGTAGGAGGGATGACGATCATTCAGAAAAAAAACAAAGTCATTTAATTGGAATTAGATTCATTTTTAATTGATAATAATTATAAAAAAAGAGGTAAAATATAAGATTTAATCTTATGCAATTCTGCCCCCCCCCTACAAAAAAAAGCTTTTTTAAAAGTGTTTAGATATTTTTAGCATAAATAAAATAATAAAATGAGTGCATTTATTTATTGATTTGCTAGCTTGAGTTTGATTTACATTCATTTTACAATAAGTAAAATTTAAAAAAAAGATGCATAAGTCCTGGAGAGAGAAAAAAACAATCAAAATAATTAAATAAAAGAAAAAAACCTTCAAAAACAGATTCTTGGTGGGTTATTTAAATTTTTTTCAATGTTTTTTTTTAGACGTGATGTTCAGCAGGGCCTGAAAATGCATATAAGATTTAATCTTATGCAATTCTGCTTCTCCAAAAAAAAAAAAAAAATTATAAAAAGAATAATAATAATAATAAAATATATATTGATTTGTGAGCTTGAGTTTGATTTACATTAATTTACAATAAGTTAAAATAAAAAAAAAGATGCATCAGTCCTGGAGAGAAAAAAAAAAACATCAAAATAAATGTGAAAAAAAAAGCCTTTAAAATTAGATTCTTGGTGGGTTATATTGGGAGGGATGACGATGACTCAGAAAAAAAAGAAAATAATTTAATTGGAATTTAATGATATTTAATAGATAATAACTATAATAAAACAGGTAAAATATAAGATTCTGCTTTTCCAAAAGAAGTACCTTTTTAAAAATGTCTTTAGATAATTTTTGCATAAATAAAATAAAAAAAGAGTACATTTATTGATTGATTTGCTAGCTTGAGTTTGGATTAAATTAATTTTACACGTTTCAAAATAATAATCAAAACTATCAAATTAACTGAGTAAATGAAAAAGCCTTTTCGTGATTGGTGGTGAGTTATTTTTCTTTTCTCAGTGATTTTTCTTTACACGTGACGTTCAGCGGGGGCCTGAAAATGCGAGGAAATGAAAGTGGTGTATTGCCTGTTGCTGTCCTGCATCCATTGCTTGTTAGTGTGGGTGCGAACATAAAATCATATCGCGTGACTTCAGTGATATTGCTGTGGCGCTCAGCAAATGATTGTTTCTGAGCACTTTTCGAAACGTTGCTCCGGTGTACAGTGTGTGTTAAAAACCTGTCCTTCTTTAGCTTGTCAGGACACGACTCCTCGTTCCCTCTATGGACAGCCAAGTGTGTCATCAAACCCCAAAAATAATACACAATAAGCAGACAAACCTCAGTGTACTGCATTTCCTGCTAAAAGTACGCTGGCAATGCTCAGTCTTTTGCTCTGGTGGTGATCTGTAGCAAAGAGGTAACTAACATTCTCTTTTGCCCAGATTCAAGTTATTTCCACAGGAAATATGTTTCCGTTTCTGCTGTTGTTGTTTGTTTTTTATTATTCCCAATTGTTTGAAATGACATTTAAGACCCCCCCCGTATAGAAAACCGACCCAAATTCCCAAACTCTCCGAGCTCAAGAAAGAGCGAGCTGGTGTCTGTTTTTTAAGCCATGGTTTCTTTGCCCGGCAGTCTTCGGTCATTGAAAGTGTGCATGTTGATAACTTCGTCTGTTTTGACCATGACGGGTGGTTGAGGCTTGTGTTTGAGCCTCCGTTGGCATTTTAGGGAGACCCGGAGCTCGTCTACCATGGCGCTGCAGAAGGATCTCTGTGTGGACAGAGAAATGCATGTTAAATGATGACCGTTCACGACACACACACAAAAAAAATGCATTGGATTATATTGTGCTGAATTTAAACAAATTCTACTGACGAATGTTCCACTTAATTTGTTTGTTTAAACTCGGCCAATATGAATTGTTTGCAACCACGCACCTTACAATACATTGAGTAAATCCAATGCATCTTTTTTATTCAGTGCGTACACAACAACAACAAGTGCACCCTAGGCTCATTCTCAATATGCCATCCGCGCTATGATTCTGCAAAACCCCAACATATTCAGTGCTGTTTCAGGATGAAATGAACAGAAGGAAGCAGTCCTAGTTTTCCTTAACTGGACTGATATATAACACAAGTATAATCAGGTGGCACGGTGCCTCAGTGGTCAGCATTGTCACTTCACAGCAAGATGGTTGCTGGTTTGAGTTTCGGTTGAGTTTGAGGCCATTTGGCATTTCTGTGAGGAGTTTGCATGTTCTCATTGTGTCGGTTTCCTCCGGGTGCTCTGGTTTCCCCCACAGTCCAAACACTATAGGGGAATTGATGAACTAATTTGGCCGTAGTGTATGAGTGTGTGAATTTAAGAGTGTTTCCCAGTTCTGGGTTGCAGCTGGAAGGGCATCCGCTGCGTAAAACATATGCTGGATAAGGTGGCGGTTCATTCTGCTGTGGCGACACCTGATAAAGAAGGAAAATGAATGAACGAATGCCCTTTCAGCTGCGATAACGTATTAGTGTGGACATGACCTAAGTTACAAAGGCACTTTAACACCATCAGCTGCATACCTGCCAACATTTTTATCTGAAAATCCGGGAGACTGGGGGGTGGGGTGGTGGATGGGTGGATGGGCGCTGTGCGCAAACTGTAGAGTGCAGGGGTTTGGGGTGTGGGGGAGGATGTGGTGAGCGGGGAGGGGGGGTAGGGGTTGATGTGTGAAATAAAGAGCGGGGGGAGTGGGGTTGGTGGAGCGTGCAAACTATATAGCGGGGTTTGGGGGGGGGGGTCGCGCAAAGTGAAATGGGGGGGTGGGGGGTGGATTAGCGTTGTGCGCAAACTATAGAGTGTGTGTGGGGGAAGTTTGTGCATTGTGCGTGAGGGAACAGGGGTAATGGGGGTTAAGGCTTGAACTGGTGAGCGGAGGGAGGGGGGTTGGGGGAGTGTGCGAACTGAATAACGGGGGTTTCGGGGGGGGGGGGG